CGTCTTTGAACGGCTCCCTACCAGATATGCAGATGAAACCAGGCCTCTGGCTTCGAAGCCGAATCCAAAGCGAAGATATCTAAAATATAAAGAGAAGTCCGAATAAGTGGATTAAAGCTTTGTACGCACGAAAATGAAGCCGAATGCGCCAAAGAAGGAAGCAAACGCGAAACTAAAGCTGAATCCATCAGTCTAAAATGCCGAGGCCGAAGCCGAAGCTGAGTCTAGTGCACAATACCGAGGCCGAAACCGAAGCTGAGTCTAATGCACAATGCCGAGGCCGAAGCCGAAGCTGAGTCTAGTGCACAATGTTTTTTGGCAGCCTTAAATCATTTTTGCGTCTGCTTAAACTACATGGGATCTAAAAGCACCAACAGGTTTATGTGAAGCAAGTGAAACACCCATAAACGTTACGTGCAGGGCGCAGCCAGTATTTTCTCGCGGGGGGCGGGAGGGGGGGGGAGGGGGGGGGGAGTCCGGTGAGGACGCCTCACGCCGATGTTTTACTTGCTGTTAGGGGCCATATCTGATGGGAAAAAATGCGGACCTAATGGAGTGGGGTGAAGTGGGGTGGGAAAAATCACCCTTGGCTGTGCTCTTGGTTGTGAATGGAACATTTCGCAGCATATCGTCCTCATCTTATGTGCACAACGTTTCGGACAGTTAGTTCTATGACCGTCAAGTGTCAATTGGTTCTCATGCGGCCTTCCAGCCATGCATGTGTCCCAGCCTCGAAACGTTGCGTAGTACATTGGGATGGCAGAGCAAGCTACAACACTGTGTGAAAAAATCACCCTGACAAAGCTGAAGCCAGTAGTACCAAACCGCATCAAGCCAAAGCTGGAATCAAAAATTATCTGGAATCAATCAAAAAACAGTCAAACACGCCCGCTCGGTCTTTCGGGACTCCGGGCAATGCGTGCTTCATGAACGCGTGCTTCAATGTCCGAGGAACGCCCGCGCTTTGCACGACCACACACCACCGTATGAGTGCTCGAGATACATCAACTCGACTACCTCCTCCATGAAGGGAGATTCTCTTATAGAATTTGCCACGCTAATGCAAGGCCTTTTGAAGAGCTCGGATGAGACCGACCGATTGCAGGCCACCTCTCCATTGTAAGTACAATTCCAGCAAATTACGGCCCAATTCATGGCTTATCAGCAGCAGGGCGCACAGCAGCATTTCAGGTCCGTTCTGGACGGCTTGCACGAGGACGTGAACCGCGTCAGCAACCGACCCAAGCCCACAGCCACCCACATCGAGGACAGCCTCAGTGCCAGCCAGAAACTGCTGGAGGTCTGGAAGCGTTTCAAGTCCCTGAAGAACTTTAACTTCGTTAACCTGGTTGTCGGAAAGCTCATGTACACGTCGCGGTGCACGGTGTGTGGCCACGTGCACATGACGTTTGACCTGTCCTGGGATCTGAGCCCGCCGGTCCCATCCGTGACAGGCCAGGTGCATTGGCAGGATTGTTTGGCCTTTCACCAAGGAAGAGGTGCTTGGCGGTGGAGAAAAGCTGACGTGCTCCATGCGCCAGAAGCACCAAAAAAAATGCGCCAAAAGTTTCCTGGTTCAGAGCTTTTCACGCATCCTTGTGGTACACCTGAAATGGTTCTTGCTGCAGCAAGATAAGCACAGAGGCAACTTCAATATCCTTTGCACTTCTTTGCCAGTAGACTAGACCTGTCGCCATCCCTGCCGCACAGGGAGACTGGAAGCACAATCTGTAGGGTTTGTTCATCCATTCTGGCGTTCACTCGGCCCACTGCACGGCCCATTGTAAACAACTCTTTTTGGGAGTCTGGCACGAGTACAACGGCTTGCAGAGTCCAGCCTATGCCTCTGCGCCGCGCCACCGGCTGCAAAGCCATACATGCTGCTTTTCAGCTGGCCAGTCACTGATGGCCTGACCGCCAGAACTCGAGAGAGCTCACGAGGACTGTCCTACCTCTAGTCCCACCGGCTGATCACCATTGTTATTTTAATTTTGGTGGTGTTTTGAAGATACGAACACTTTCCGCCCCGCAAAAAATAAGCACTGCTCGAGCAGAGGCCGAAACTGGAGCCAGGTGTTGCAAATAACACGGACCCGAAGCTGAAGCCAGCCTGTAAAAATGACACCACGTGTGTGACACAAATGACACGTGATCTGTTGCTAATGGGCAGCGGCCAGCACGGAGCCGCAAAGTGTTTTTGATGCCAAAAAGTGGACTTTATTACACAGGCCTCGTCCATCAACCGTCGTGAAGCAGAGGCATCCCCTGGAGACCTGGGCGAAATCGCTTTTGACTCCTTTTTCTTGGGCATGTCTTTGCCTGTGATGATAATAAAACTTGACTGCTGCCCTCCCGCCGCCTCCGCGTGCACGAGCCACCCCACAGATGCCATCCCTGTTTGGGAATTGCAGCAAAGCGGGTACGACTTTCACAGTCGCTCTTTGGTCCGCTACATAAGCAGCGAACGCGTATCTGGAGTTGGGCAGGCAGACGCTGATGGATGTGGTCGTTAGCTGTTTCCTGAGCCAGCGGCGCGTGTCTCGGCGCCGGACGGCTCCTGGCAGCCCGGATGGCACGGCGTGGTCAGTGATCCGGACCGGATCATTCGGGCCAGGGACAATTTGTAATGGAAACGGATCCCACCGTCCCCGGCGGCCGTCCGGCGGCGGAACAATCGGCCGCTTTAGGGCCGTTTTAATTTTAGGATGGAATGGAGTATAGAACAGAATGCTCGGGAAGAAAAGGTATGGAAGGACCTGAGGGATCCCGATCAGTGCTGCTCCCGGAGGCGTCCTGCTGATGATGCTTCAGGTGCCTCTAATAACATAGTCTCCGAAAGTTGCGTATGGCTATTCCTGGCTGGTCCAGTGGATTCTATGCGTCCAGTGCTTACCCGGACGGTTTTTGAACATGTTTGTGCTGAGAGCTGCAACGACACCAGCGGGCAGGCTATTCCATTCGGCTAAGACACATACACCGAATGTTTTTTCGCGATGAAGGCTATTCGAAGTGGGCTTTCTGAGCTTCAAGGGATGTTCTCGAGTGCCGTGCTGCCCGGTGTCACACTGGAAATTTTCGTCAGGGCTGATTTTCAGCTTGCCCATGTTCATCTGGTAGATCATGAGCATGTCTTCTAGACATCTCCGGTAGTACGTGCTTGGCAGCTTGAGCACCCTAAGATTGTTCTCATACTTAAGGTATGACACGCCGTGGGCCAGCTTGGTTGCCCTCCCTAATACTGCTTCTGCTGCATCGTGATTTGCACAGTGCATTGGTCCCCACACACAGCTGTCGTACTCGAGGTGAGGCCTGACCAGAGACTTGAACAGCAGAGGCACAGTCTTGACATTTCGTGCAACAAAGGACCGCTTGATCAGTCTCAACAGTCTATCGGCTTTTGTATTTGTACTTGCCTTCTGAGAATGAAAATCGAGCTTCCGGTCCAACAGCTGGGATGAACAGGAACGTCGAGGGAGACAACCACGTTCATGGGCAGAGTGAAGACCATTTCGGGAAAGACGTTCAATAAAAGCCTCCCTGGGATAGGGACAGAGACAGGGACAGAGGCAGAGTCAGAGACGAAAACAGAGACAGAGACAGAGAGAGGTAGGGGTGGTACATTGGCCGGGTACGAGCCGTGGGAACCGAACGGACAGAGCCACCACGACTCCCGGCCGGCCGCGCAGGCCGTGGCGTGCGCCCCACCCACCATCCCCGCCCGCTACGTGCAGCGGCCCCCGCTCGGCAGCATTGTCGTGCTATCAGCCGTCGCCGCGTACGTGACACGCCCCGGGGCGGGTCACAGGTCACGGGCCGGCCCATTGTGTCGCCGTCAGCGCCCGTCCGCGCCGGAAGCGGGCGATCTCGGCATCCGCCGCGGCCGCCGGTCCGCTGGCCTAAAAACGCCACCACAAAACATCGGCCGTCGATCGTTTCAATGAGCGCGCGATCGGCGTCACGATTCCGCCGAGGTGAAGGACGACAAAAACGCGCTGCATGGAGCAGGTGGCATGTGCTCTCGTTTAATCGCATATCCATCCGTGAAGCGAAGCTTTAAATCGAGCGGCCATCCTGGCGCACTCCCGGCGCTCTGCTGGGGGGATGATGCAGTAAACAGAACTCGGAGAGCGTGCCTCTAAGAGCCGTCTCTGGTCACGATCCGGGCATTCAGGGCCGCCTTTGAGTCGCAGCAGTCTGATTGGCTGGCTTGTGCACGCGTGGCATAAAAACGTGGCTGCCAAAGGGTGTGCAGGTGAGTTATGTGTGTGATACGGTCGCGCCGCTAGCAGCTTCGGCAAGGGATATTCGACCCCGCTTGTGAAGGCGGCTCGTAAAGCTTGGTGAACAACCGGCAAAACCTGACTAGAGCCCACAGTCCCACATATAAATGTGACGTCATTAAATGAGATGGCGTTGTCCTGGGAGAACTCTGAGGCCATGCTCAGTCAGTGTGACTCAATGACGTTCCGCGCTGGCGGTCTCAGATGCATTGCCAGTCGCAGTAAACTGAAGGCTTGTTTTATGGAGGGGCAGGGATGGTAGAAGCTCTATTAGGGGCGTTATTCACAATTTACACGCTTATCCCGTGAGGGTCTATGATTCTTGAATTGCGTGCAAGCTTCCTTATTCCTTGCTCTGATTCGGTATATGATATATTGTGAAGTTATAAATTGCATATTGTGAATGACATATACCAGACTATTGTGGGACAACATGCCCCTTGGCCAGGCTGGGCGATTGATTGGCACGTTTGGAATTGATTTAACCACCACCAACCGTACATTGATATCCGGAAATAAGATGCACTTAAATGAGAAATGTTCTGATAAGAAATACCTTTGTGAGCGCGACAAAATGCTGTAGATAATTATCTGCCGGGAAATAATGCTGCATCTTATTTTGCAGGAACTATTGGCAAGGCAGCATTTCTCATTCATGTTTGTACAAGCTGCTCAGAGAATGGCTAATCTTACACGCCGCCATTCAGTTCAGCTCTTGCGTCAGATGTGGCGCGCCTCAATCGCTATCGTACGATACACATCCTCGCCATCCGAGTGGCCTGCGTCGGAAGGCATTGGCTGATAAGCCGGATCAGCAGCGGACATCGGCGATCGTCGAGTGTTGTACAAATTAAGATATTGCAGGCGAACCGTGGGAAGGGAGCCGAGGTGCTCGACGATCAGCGTTATCGCCTCCAATCGCGGTGGTGCACGGACCCCAGCCCCAAGCTCGATAGAGTCCTTCAGTGACATCAGCAGGACCGTGCGCCTGCTCCCTGCGATTGCTTGCACGGCACACGTGGTTGGTGTTGTTGTCAAGAGGGCATGGTATCGAGAGCGATAAAAGGGTTCGAGCCCATGCCGGTCCGGTCACAGGTCAGCGATCACAGGTCCGCATACCAGGGCGGAGGGTGTGTATGCTAGCTGTGGGGGTGGAGCTGAAGATACTGCATGTGTACAGCCTATCACTTATGGTAGCGTCTAATTGACCGCAGTCCTACGCGAGGAGGGCTGCCCAGAGTTTTGTGCCACTTGTTTCTGATCCATGTATGATGGCGTATTTCAAACGTTATAATTTTTTCTAGCTTTCCTTCGCATTCTTAAGTGCAAATATGTGATTGCAGTCATCCACTAGTCTAGAAAGGGCAGGAGGCTTGATGCGTCTGCATTTGTACGGGCCGATTTCGTAAGTCATCCATCGGCAACCCATTGACGCGTCTCTCTCTCTCTCTCTCTCTCTCTCTCTCTCTCTCTCTCTCTCTCTCTCTCTCTCCTCCATCTCTCTCTCTCTCTCTCTCTCTCTCTCTCCTCTCTCCTCTCCTCTCTCTCTCCTCTCTCTCTCTCGCCCTCTCTCTCCTCCTCTCTCTCTCTCTCTCATCTCGCTCTCTCTCTCTTCTCCTCTCTTCTCTCTCTCTCTCTCCTCCTCCATCTCTCTCTCTCTCCATCTCTCTCTCTCTCCTCTCTCCATCTCTCTCTCTCTCTTTCTCTCTCCCTCTCGCTCTCCATGAGGCTCCGAGCCAGCGGCCAGGCCGGGTGAGGGTGAGGGTGAGGCTCCGAACCAACGACCAGGCCGGGTGAGGCTCCGAGCCAGCGGCCAGGCCGGGTGAGGGTGAGGGTGAGGCTCCGAACCAACGACCAGGCCGGGTGAGGCTCCGAGCCAGCGGCCAGGCCGAGTGAGGGTGAGGGTGAGGCTCCGAACCAACGACCAGGCTGGGTGAGGCTCCGAGCCAGCGGCCAGGCCGGGTGAGGGTGAGGGTGAGGCTCCGAACCAACGACCAGGCCGGGTGAGGCTCCGAGCCAGCGGCCAGGCCGGGTGAGGGTGAGGGTGAGGCTCCGAACCAACGACCAGGCCGGGTGAGGCTCCGAGCCAGCGGCCAGGCCGGGTGAGGGTGAGGCTCTGAGCCGCCAGGCCGGGTGAGGGTGAGGGTGAGGCTCAGAGCCAGCGGCCAGTCCGGGTGAGGGTGAGACTCTGAGCCGCCAGGCCGGGTGAGGGTGAGGGTGAGGCTCAGAGCCAGCGGCCAGTCCGGGTGAGGGTGAGACTCCGAGCCGCCAGGCCGGGTGAGGGTGAGGGTGAGGCTCCGAACCAAAGACCAGGCCGGGTGAGGGTGAGACTTCGAGCCGCCAGGCCGGGTGAGGGTGAGGGTGAGGCTCAGAGCCAGCGGCCAGTCCGTTGAGGGTGAGGCTCTGAGCCGCCAGGCCGGGGGAAGGTGAGTCGAGCCGCATACCATCCCCAGCTGGGGGCGCCGGCCGGCTGCAGTGAGCTCAGCACATACCAGGTCAGCAGCTGTCGGGTCACTGGCCGCCTGGAGGATTGAGCTGGAGCGGAGTCCGGTAACCGGCTCACTGCAGGCAGCACTGGTCAAGAGATCCGGGTCGCCACCAGACTTGGGGATCGGTCCGGCATGGATACAGGGTCGCTAACGCACCCGAAAGGGACGTGAGCGCCATCAGTTCAATGGAAAACGGGACGGAGAACTTCACGAATGAATGCTGAAATGACTTCAATCGCGACAAGATACCTTCACCAAATACCAGGTAGGACTCGATAAAAGAATATAGTCGATGTAAAACCGCACTCCCCTAAATGTAATGAGGCTTCGATTTACACAAATGCTTGTAAACCGTGATAATAGTGCATGTTGCCAACGTGCGACGGCTGCGCGCGGTGCTCGTACCGTGCACGGCGCCCACGCGCGGCTGCGCGCCGGCTTCTGTCGCGCGCGCACGGGCCGGCGCAAGCACGCGCCTAGCTGAGCGGCGGCTGACGCACGTCGCCGCCGCCTCAGCGGACGTGCTGCGTCGCTTCCTGTTGTCCTGCAATGTTCGCACGGCAGCGGGCGGCGCGACCGCCCGCCTGAGAACTTTCACGTGAGACTGACGGCGGCGTAATTCGCCGGCCAGAACGGTCGCCGGCCGTGGGACCGCCGCTGACACGACTACGGCGCTTCAATTCGTGGGGTGGGACGGACGCGTTTAGGGGTGTGCAGCCTCCTGTAGAAACGTGTCCTTTGAGGTGCATGATTACGAGGTAACTGTAAAGAATACTTGACTTGCAGTCAAATAGGTGGAACCTGAACTTACCTGAACTTCCCAGGACTCGGCGAACGCAGACTATTTTCGCAGCGGCTGGGTGAGGGGTTCGGGCAACGCTACACAAAACTAAGTTTGAAATTGCAATAGTTCAGGACATCTTCCTGTATGACTGGAAATTTGTTTCTGGTGACTGCAATCAACGCGTCTTTTACCTTGATTTTCTGACGTTGCAATGCCGTCACTCAGACCATGATTCGTAACAAAAGGGCGCGCAATCAAATAATGCATGCGCTTAACAAACTTGCACTTGCACATGTCATTGTCGTACCAACAGCACTTTTTCAATCCTTTTTATGTTTGATATGGTAATGCCACAATATGAGGTATATATGTGAATATATACATATATATATATATATATATATATATATATATATATATATATATATATATATATTTACATATATACCTCATACTGTGGTATGGCCTTTTTATGTTTGACATGGTAATGTCACAATATGAGGTATATATGTGAATATATATATATATATGAATATGTTATACCCATGTCACACCATGTAATACGGTGCGACAATGGCTGCATGTTGGTTGAGCGCGGAAATGTACTTTTAACACGCGCCCGGGTGGCCGGCGAGATACCCTTCGCTCGAGTGGGGGTGTCAATTCGAAGGTCATGACCTTCAGGTCAAATAAGGTCAAACAAGGTCAAATTCCAGGTGTGTCTCTAAAGTGTCCCCAGAACCTAGATAACCGTCTCTAAGCTCATTTAAGGTCAGTGACTTTGTTTGATCTTTTGAAGGTCATGGTGACCAAAATCATAGAAGACTGCTCTGAGCTTCGCATTTGAATAAGCGACAAAGCTTACGCTAGGCAGTATGCTCCTAAATACAAAATGTCGACCTGGGTCATCTCGGGCCAATGACCTATTCCAACGCCTAGAAAGTTAATGGAAGATGCATAATGCTGTTCCTACTACCAATAAATTCGAAATGAGCACCAGAAACTATCCCATACAGCAAGCCCTAGAGTGATAAAACAGGTTGGTTTTGACCTTGGTGTGACCTTCATACTTGAAATTAGGTCAACTTAATTTGCTCAGTCAATATTTGTGTTGCTTAAGAAAGCATCTCAGAGATGCATGGCTTCGTCAAACACTCTGTTGTTGCATCAGATTGAAGGATTCTCTAGAAATTGCCTATCGTTGAAACCATGGCTTGACTTTGACCTGCTATAGGTCAGCGACGATACAAGGAACGTCTATTTTTTACATTAAACGATCCGCTATTCTATTGTCTATATCTATGCAAAATTTGACGCGTCTTCACCGCGCCGTTCGGAAGCCATTCCGGAAAAATCTTTGGGGGGGGGGGGCAATTTGATCCCCACCCGAGCGCGTGTTAAAATTCTGGCCTCGTGATCTGGATCCCAAATCTCGGCAGAAACTACAGAGTATGGCTATCAGCAACGAGCTCTTAACATCGACCCATTCCCACATTTTGCACCACTCCACTTGCACATGCTACGCTTCGGGGCATGTCTATCACCGCAAAAGCTGTCGATCATCGTCCACTACCGTGATGCGATCAGCAATCTTCTAACCTCAGAAGTCGGACCACTTTCACGTGCTCGTCGCTTGCACGATGAAAACACGTTTGATCCTACAGGAGGCAACCAGAGCATCCGCGATTTGAGAAGCTAGACGGAGGTACTAATGGGGTGAAGTGGTGCAGAGATGCTGGTGCACTGTGCTGGCTTTGTATCAGGTTGAGTTACATGGTTTGCGGGAGATCATGAATATAAGATTAAGTTGTTCGGCGCTGAGGGTATAGGCTGTGCATCCCTTGGTGGCGAACGGCGTACACACCTTGTGTTGGTCCGAGCTGAGGTAGGGATAGGGTAACAAATGAATTAAGGGCAGATAATTGCGATGGGAGTGAGGGAAAAGGAAAGTGAAGAAACGGGAGTTATACAGAGAAAAAAGTAAAGGCAATTGATATACTTGCATGTGCAAACTTGATGAACACTGATGCTCCCTAATTCACCGTGGAACCATGTGCTGACAATAAAATACCACTCCTTGATGTCCATCTTGATACATCTCATGGCATATTTGCTTCAACTGTGTTTAGGAATACCACTGAGACTGGACACTGTACTCAAAACCAAAATGGTACCGGGCTGAATCCGAGCCATTTGATTGGATGTGTTCCTGGGGTGAGCCCTGACGCTAAGCAGTGTTGGTTGCGTGAGCCCTGGCACTCAGCTGGTTGCACACCCTGGCACTTGGCACGTGGAATTAACTAAATATTTTAAAAAAGTTCTTATTTTGTCATTGGGGATGCAAATTGTATCGTCGGAAGTCCGCGGAAAAACCAGATTTGAAAACTCTAGGTTAGGTCAATGTCAACGGCTCAAACTGGGACTGTGAATGTCGCGGCATAAAAATATCAGTGAGGTAGCGGAGTTCTTCTGCTCGGTTTATTCTCAGTACCTTCATGTTAACTAACTTTGGGAGATGACCTTGATCTGTCAAAATGCGTGCAAAATCTGTTTTCCACTACAGATGACATCAGCTCTGACGCCTGCATCCAGGTCCTCAGAAAGAGTGGGTTTCAATACGACCCATTTTCTCGGGCGGCTTCTTTTCTCATGACATGTCTGACACGTGGAAAGAAACTGCTGGACAACAGACTGAGATGCAACCAATTCTTGCAAAGCTCGATCATCAGCTTGTTCCGGCCAGCATGTTCCATGTTATTACTTTGCAGGTATGGCTACAATCAACCAACAGAATCCCCAACAAAAGGCAATGTGTAAGCACAGTGCATCCCATTTGCCGGTACATTAGGTGTGGCCCCGCATCATGCTTCGTTATGGGGCCACACATTCTGCGCGTTGTGAACAGTTCTATTACAAACTGCAAGCTGCCTCCAGCCCGGCAAGCAGCGACTGCCGTTCCTCTTCATGAGGATGGGGATGTAAGCGATCCTCACAACTAAAGACCCATGCAACTGTCAGGTTCGT